GGGAATATGGCAGGAGTTATCAAATAGTTCGTTTCTATGTATGTTGGCGTTTGTTTTTGTTGCACTTCAGTGTTCCTGTTGTTCCTTTGTTTTCCTCTTATAGTTGATGTGTTTCCCTTGGTTTTAGTTTGTAACCCGGGTTTGTTTTCTCTAAATCGATTTATGACTTTTAAACAGCGGTATACTACTGTTGCCTTTATTTGACGGAGTAAAATTGTTATGTTTCAAAATGTGACGTTGAAATCATGCAGCTCATGCTGTCAGTTGAACGAGTGCAACATATTTCAGCATAAAATATCAACAATGAGAAATTAATTTTAGAAATTATACAATTTATCAAATAATAAAACAAGATCATGATTTGATGTATAATTTTTGCAGGAGAAATGTGGAGAAATAAGTTGATGTCAGACATTGCTTCGCGGAAGTGTTTATACTTCATTACGAATTTTAAAGTGGAAGGCATGAACTTACACAATATACGTTCAGTGACTGTATATCACATAAATATATAAGTCAACGATTTAAATCAACTTACGTGTATTGCTGTTTTTATATTGAATTTCTTTTATAACAATTGGTCGGTTAGACACAAAGAACGCACTTCTTATACAAAATGAAGGAAGCAAATAGTCAAAGGATTTGTATTTTAATTCATCTTTAGTTACGAGTTAATATAAGGCTGAAATATTAGATAAAATGTCCTTATTTACATAATAGGTAGTTTTAGTGGATCAGTGTATCTTTATTTAACATTCAGTAATCAATTACTGAAAGTGATATATAGAAAATTAAGGCAAAATATTCAACTGCTGCAAGTATAACATTAATAATTCTTTAATATACAATAGTGTTGCAATAATAGATATACGTCACGAAAAAAATCTTCATATAAAGAAAGGTACATTATTATGTTTATTACTTTGTAATTGATTGTCTGACCTTAGAATTAAATATAACAGAACTATTAACAACTGTCATATGAATGAAAGATTTAGCTAGCTGCAAAACCAGGTTTTACCCACCATTTTCTTAGAAAAATGCCTATACTAAATCAGGAATATGACAGTATGTTGATAAAGTTTGAATATGTCACTTTTTATGGACTTCCGCCTTTTTGGATTTACCTTTCAATATTTTGTTATACTCTTTTTCTCGTACAGATCTTTTGAGTTAGGCCAACTGCAATTGATTTTTACAGTTTGTTTATATTTTGTTACTTTTCAACACTGTCTCAGGTTAGTGGGAAGGATGAGCATTCACAAACAAATTCTTTATAAGCATGTCCCAAGTCAGGAGCCTGGAGTGGTTGTCGTTAGTTCATATCTGTCATATGGGTTTTTCTCATTGTTGAAGGCCGTAAGGTTGCCTATAATTGCTTACATTTACTTCATTTGAACTATTCTGGATAGTTATCTCATCGGCAATCATACCACAACTCCTTATTTTTAAGTTCAAACGTTGACATATTTTTTTTTGGATACATAGGATTATTTAACGTATTGTGTAATTTCCAAAATATATCTTAAGTCTCATCACTCCGCCCAAAAAAAACCAAAGAAAATAATAACTTTAAAATACAGTTATGTCTTACAAACAAGACAGAGGCGAGAAGAAGTATGGCTTATTGTTTAAATGTATAACGGAAAGTTCGTTAAGCTTGCCAAAGAGCACTAAGTATATCTGATGAAAATAAACAAAACCATTTATGATACAAGGAAGATTACATTGTTAATTTGTGAACTACTGTAATTGAGTTATTTAGATCTTGTGAAATATCTCAACCGCAAATTCTAAAGATTATGTAATTAAACTGTCTGTTCTCAAATAATAGATTACCTTTATAAATTGAATGACATGCAAGTACAAAAAATTACTGAATAAAACGAGAACATTAAGGAAGTTTAAATTCGAGGACAAAGACCATGGTAAGTAAAAACGCCACCAGTTTTTGTAAATAAAAAACAAAAAGGAAAGTATTATATTTATTTGTGTGTAGCAAAGTACTTTTGGATATATCGTATGTGAAATTTTGATTTTCACAAAGAAAAAAATTAAGAGAGTGTCAAGAATAGTTCATCGATGTATTTAACATAGAAACCACTAGAAAAAAAACTTGCGGGAATTGTCTGAGCTCGTAACAAATTCTGAAGCGAGACCAGTTTCATTGAACGCGTAATTGTCTTATGCAATACATTTATCAACCAAGTAACCAGTATGTCTTTAAATTCACTGTTTGTTATCTACTATTGAATATTTACCACTGTCTCAATGATCAGTGTATCATTTTCATGTTTTCCTCATGTAGAACATATTTTGTGACTGAGGGTAAAAACAGACTTGAAAAAATCATCTAAACAATTTTATAGTATTGGTTAATTTACAGATGAGTAAGGTACAAAACAAGTGTTTTAAAATCAGGGTTGGGCATACCGTCCGCGTGTCATAAAAGGTAATGTGGCAATTCCGATAAAAACATGAACTAATTTTCTAAAAATAACCTTATAGCGATCAAGATAGTGATAACATATATTTGGTACAAATTAAGCGCCTTTAAACATCCTTGATCAGTTTGTTTCTGTAACTGCAGTTTTTTGGGTTATTGATTTATTTTAAACAAATCGCACAAATTTACAGGTTGTTTCCCTAATCCTTTTTTTTTTCAGAAGATATAATTAATAATAAGTATATTGATTTTATTGTAAAGCTACTCGATTATGCTAAGATAAAGCATGATCAACATTTAGAAAAGATTTCCGTTCAAATCGCTACTAAAGGGTTCATTTTCATGCAGTGATAGTTTTTGCTCTAAGTTAAAGGCTTTCAGAGGAAGAACAGAATTGATACACCATATACTTTCTTTCTATTCTTTTAACAGATTGTTGTCTTTCATGCTTTGTGGAGGCCGTGACAGATTTCACTTGTATGTGGTTTGATAGTGCATTTACTCCTGTGATAAATTCTCTATTGTATGCTTCTTCATTTTGTCACTTTCGGCCAATTTGTATCTGGAAATGGATATGTAGTCCAATCGAAATATTAGCCATTTTCATACGTTATTTTCTCTCCAGATATCTTACACTATCTTTATGTGCTCAGAAGTTGTCTTAATATTTGTACTGTTTTTTCTTTACTCTAAAGTGATATTGTTAGGAAATTTCTGATAGTATTCGTTGGATTGTGAGATTTCTTTGGCAGATATAAGTTATAAGTTATTGATTTTATCCTGTAGCTGTGTTCCTCAATAAATATATGTAGCATGATCAACACATAGAAAATAATTTCGCTCAAATCGTGGCAAGGGGTCCCTATGAACACGCAGTGATGTGAGAGTTTGTCCTCCATGTTGGAGGCATCACTGTGACTTTGAAATCAATATCAGCAATACAAGCGTTGTTCCTTTGTTTTGGTGGTTTCTTTAACACGTCTTGGTTTCGTTTCATGAATGATTACACCATATTCTTTTTTCCTTATATTTTCTGTTATGAAATTCTCTACAAACCAACCATGCTCATTGCATGAGATCATACCGTCCATCTCTATTCCCGAAGATTTTAGAATGTAATTTTATTCATTAATGCAAAATACCAATGAAAATTTTGAAAAAAAAGTTATAAAGTTTTACTGTAAATTTTTAATATCCATGTCAAAAAAGGCCATTTTTCATTCATTTAAACCTCAGACAAATGCCAAAAAACTCAATATTTCCCACTGATATGTTTGTTTTAAAGAAAGTTGGCAGTGACTTAAATCAAGCTTAAAAAATTACGTGAAAGACCTTGCATCAACCTGATTATCGATGAATTATATCATCATTAAACGTTGGTATAAAATAACACTTTAAATTCTATTCCAGTTCAAAGAATAATTACTTCCGAAACAATTACACAATATCTGTGGTAATTTTATTAGGCGTCTTTCTTTTTTATGATTTGTTGACTTGTTGTAATCTAGTTTATGATATGAATATTGCAAACATAAGAAATCAAAATAAACACTACAAACATGCGTATATCGAACAATACGACAGACTAGGAAGGATGTTAACAATAGAAAGAGAAAAAAAAACGTTCCGGTTATCAAAAACTATTGATAAATTGATAAAAGTTACCTTGAGAATATAAATATCAAAACATCATTTTAGTAGATTGTTTTCAGGTGTTTGCTTTTCCATCGTATATTTAGAAAAGAGAGGCGGAAGATACCAAAGGGACATTCAAACTCATAAGTCAAAAATAAACTGACAACGCCATGGCTAAAAAAGAAAAAGACAAACAGAAAAACAACAGTTCACAAAACACAACACAGAAAACTAAAGACTGAGCAACACGAACCCCACCAAAAACTGGGGGGGGGGGTTGGGGGGTTGGGGGGATCTCAGGTGCTCCGGATGAGTCAGCAGATCCTGATTAGAAAATACGAATTATTGAGAAACACTACTTCTTTCAAAGGCATAGAAGAGGCAGAAATTGTTGAAAATATCTATCAACTGATTTTTATGCTTGATGTTAATGAATTTAATAATATCAAGATCCATTACAAACAAGAAGATAAGAGAAACACATTTAGTCTATATTTGAAAACAAATCACACTACGGCATTCCAGATACCACAAAACGAGCATATTAAGTATTAACAAACAAAACTTACTGAATTTAATAGTTTCTTTACATTTTTGATTGGTATATCTTTCAAGGTTGTATCACTTCACAAAAATAACAATGGTTTTATATTGGTGTGCAAAAATCATGAAGTTTTGGTCGTGTGTTATGGTGGTAACATGAAAAAATGAATAAAAATAATATGATAAATGTAACTTGGAAGAAATATGCTCAAAATGTGATCGTTCTATACCCAAAAAAGCATCGTTGTTAATGGTGTGTCACTGCATAGGAGAAAGAACTTAATTATTACTAACATCAGGTTTTTGACAAAATGATATTTGTGAATTGTTTTTACTTTTAGTTAAAATGACATTATTTCATATTTTCAGATGAAACTTCGCGGTCGTCAATTTATTTTATTTGTATTGCATTGTGAACAAATTCTGGTACTGTGCATGTCTGATGTCATACAAGGTTTATCATTGTTGAATTTCAAAATAATTGGAAATGATGAAACCTTCTACTATCGATGTTCTACTAATCGTAAATGCAAATGTTCAAACATTACTGATGGAATTTTAGCCGACTGTTCCGCCTTAACTTTAAAAAAATCTCCATATTTCGAGGAAAGGGTTGTATCTGTTAATCTGAGCCGTAATTTGCTTACACATCTCCCAGACGAGGGACATTTACCGGCGAAGCTGAAATATTTAGATTTAGCAGATAATAATATTTCAAAATTTAGTAAAGGGGAGTTAGCTCCATTTTCTACTGCACGCAATATTATAAGCTTAAACTTATCAACCAATTTCTTATCACTAGATGTTGATACGTATTACACAGGCGTGTTTCAAAATCTGAAATATTTACAGTATTTAGATGTTTCAAACAATTCCAATGCAAACAAAAGTTATTATTGTCCAGATAAAGTATTTCAAGAACTTTCCTCTCTTCAAAGTCTATCAATCGATGGAGTTCAAAATGTAACGTTTGGCAAAGGATTTTCTACTCTGACAAATCTCACAATGTTGAGAATAACTGGAATTGCTGTTAAAAGGATCATAAATAGAGAATACTTTGACAATTTCCCCAATCTTGAACACCTCGATTTATCAGCTACATTAGAATGGCGCAACAAAGGCGATTTTGCACTCACAAATTTTGAAAAAGGTGCTCTTCAAAAACTTACTAAATTGCAGTATTTAGATATCTCATACCATCGGAAACTTCGAATGTGTGGATTTAGAAATGTTACGAATGATCTTCCAAAAACTTCAATACGCATACTAAAAGCCAATTATCTGGAATGTGAAAGATCAGTAAGTACCGTTTTATTTGTTGATGATATCAAATCTTTGAATACTACAAAGCTAGAGGAACTATACCTCGATGGAAATAATTTAGAAGAAACAGATATCCTAGTGCCACGACATTTACCACCGTCTTTGCATTATTTTAGTGCCAGAGATAATAGATGGGTCATTGATAGATACGCATACCATTATATTTCTGCATTAACAGGAATTAAAACTGTTGACTTGAGTTTTCAAAACAAACATCAGTTTTCGCAGTCAAAGAACTTTGTGGCTTTGTACTGATTCTTCTTATGAAACTACACATTGCATTTGTAACAGAGTTCCAGATTACGTCGGCGAATCATCATTTCTTAACGGGGGTCTACATAAAGACATTTTACGAGCGTCTAACAAAATTGACAATTACCCATTAATAAAATCGTGTATTCCTTATGACGCCACAATTTTTCAACTCGCCCTTATTCCGGCAAAAACAGAAACAATAATAATAGAAAGTGCAAAAGTAGGTGAAAATTTTCCACCTATTTATTTTAGTACATCTTCTGTGAAGAAAATATCATTGCGAAACAATCAAATTTTTGCCCTTACAGGGCCAATATGTAACTTAACCAAGCTCCAATACTTTGACTTGTCCAGTAACAGAGCTGTTGATATATCCAGTTATGTATTTGGTTCCCTTATAGGTCTTAAACATTTAGAAATCGATAATAATCTTCTAGGTAATTCCAACATTTTTTATACAAACAATTCTGTTTTTATTTTTGAAAATCAAACGAATTTAATGTTTCTCAACATGTCGTCAAATCGCCTATCCCTTTTATTCCGAAATTTTCTATTAAGGTCATCTAAACTAAACACTATTTTAATGGATCACAATTTACTTACGGACTGGAATATTTCTATTTATCATATGCAAGACCTACAATTTATAGATATAAGTTGGAATCAGATATTATATTTGTCTAGTGAAGGAATGAATCTACTCGAAATTTCATTTCCCTTGAATACCACTATCGATATGTCAAACAATCCTTTTGAGTGTTCATGTAATTCAATATATTTTTTGCAATGGCTTCAGTTGCACAAGAAGCATTTTAAAGGCTTCGATGATTATTCATGCACGTACTTATATAAGTCTTTTGATATACCAGAGGCAAACATTCATTTGAAAAAGGATTGTTATTCCTATGTTGGAGTGATTGTTTCAGCGGCGATCGGAATAATAGTCTTTCTAGCTGTTATTTCTTCTCTGATAATTTACCGATATCGATGGAAATTGCGTTACTGGTATTATATCTTCAAGGGAGCCTACGGAGGTGATCGTGTAAAGACTGAATGCAATTTTCAATTCGATGTTTTTGTATCATACGCGGAAAAGGACAGATGGTTTCCGAAAGACTACATGATAGAATTTCTCGAGAAACAAGGAGCATTGCGCTTATGCATTCATGATAGAGACTTTATCGCAGGAAGTGCCATTGCCGAAAATATAACAAATGCTATTCACAACAGCCGAAAATTTGTTTGTATTCTCACAAATAACTTTCTCAAGTCAAAATGGTGTATGTATGAATTTCATATGGCCCTAGAAGATATTGTGGTGACAAGACAGGGAAGAAATAGCATAATAATTGTTCAGCTATCAAGCACAGATGTCAGAAATATTCCTCGAGAAATGAGGTATATAATGAACGAGGACACGTACATTGATTATCCAGAGGATGAAGGAGACAGAGTAATCTTTTGGGAAAATTTTGAGAGAGATTTTAAATTTTAGTTTGAAATGAAATGCAAGCTTAAATATAGTTTTCGTAAGGTATTTCATGAAATGAGTGTTCTTCGAATTTGAAAGAGTTTCGTATATTTTCATAGTATAGTTTGAATAATAATAACTATTAAAAAAACTGTGTGTTTTTCCTTTATAAAAAGTTAAGGTTCTTATCTTCATTAAGTACATTGTACCTCATAAGATTTTTGTCTAGCTTTTATATTTGTACATTGAAATTCCTATAGAGGAATTTTCCGTCCTTTTTTGTTGTTGATTAAGTTCAGAAGGGAAGTCAGTTTGGTTTTAATGTGGCGTAAATATATGTATGTTGCAAGGGTAGAAAAGCAGCCGTAAACAAGCAGTCTCAGATCAATCGAAATAAACGAATTAAACATCGTATAGTTTATACATTTTATAATCTCCTATCTATATTTAAAAACAATAATTACTTTGCGAACTACCAATTAGTAAACAAATAATATTTTGAATAAGGGTACCATAACTTCGTTTTTCAACCCACTGCATGAATGCACGCATATGGTTACAGCTTTTTGAACGGCAGTTTCGTTGAATTCAATATTTCAACAGATGTTTGATTTATTCACTTATCTTGTATATGTAAGGACTCTACTATTCAAAGCTTTATACCTCAATATTTTGATGACATGCAACCTCCTATTCAAATATTTTGCCCTCGAGCATCACTGAAGAGACATTAATTGTCGAAATGCACATCTGATGCAGTAAAATTGGTACCATTTGTGTTATGATTACAACTTGGTCGATACCTCTGTTGGTTGAATGTTAGTCCCCGAGGCTATCACCAGCCCAGTAGCCTGTACTTTGGAACTGGCTTGAAAGTACGGATATTGTTTTGATTAAAACTTGCCGTTATAAAATTTTGGAAATAATTTTAAATTAAGGAATATATCTCCCTCATGCAAAACTCTGATTCCTTGTCCGGATTAGGCTAAACTTTTTTTTGTTTGATCAGCTCTTACACGTTTGTATCAGGTGTAGGGTTTTCACATATTTTGGCTTCGAAAATCACTAAAGAGACATTAAAAGTCGTAAAGCGCATCTGGCGCAGTTAAATAGGTACCGTTTATGTTATTATGTCAGTATAGAAACTTATGTTCCTGAAACATAAAACATCAAGTTTTTTATATGGTCATATAGTTAAAAGGGATCTCGACATCGTTGAAGACCGAAAGGTAAACAAATTTTTGAAAAAGAACAAAAAGATCGTCCTCCATCTATAACAAACAGTATAAGCATTAGAAATAGTGTTGCCAGTTCATTAAGAGATACGTTTTAATCCTTTATAATTTATATGTCCATTTCTAGAATAAGAAACAAACTTTAGGTACCCACATAACGGTTTGTTTTCTTTGTACCTAAGCTGCAACCCCCTCCCCACCCTTATTCGTTTCATCTCGGCCTCCAGTAAGTGTTCTACAACTATTCTTTCAGTGCTTTTAACTAGCTCCCAAACTACTATCAAAGAACTTATCATTAATATCTGAAATAAAGCAACTGTAAATGATGTTATTATTTATTTCTGTAAAAAACTCATTATTGGGCTATTTGAGAGAAATTACGTGCTTTTGGCGGTTCTTTCAATCCGGTTGACACTTTGTACTTTTCGACTCCCTACACAACACTTCAATAAAATGTTTCAAATAAGTTTTTCTTTTCAATTAAATTGTCCCCTGGAAGATCTGACTGCAAATTACTTTGCTGCTACTCATATGAAGCTTGTTTGTACTAAAAAGGGTAAATATGGTAGATATACTTACTGGAAGTGTAATTAGATGATTAGTAGTTGTACAACTTTTACTTGACAACATCTTTAAAATTGAGAATGGAAATGGGGAATGTGTCAAAGAGACAACAACCCGAGCATAAAACAGACAACAGCAGAAGGTCACCAACAGGTTTTCAATGCAGCGAGAAATTTCCGCACCCGGAGGCGTCCTTCAGCTGGCCCCTAAACAAATATATATACTAGTTCAGTGATAATGAACGCCATACTAAACTCCAAATTGTACACAAGAAACTAAAATTAAAAATAATACAAGACTAACAAAGGCTAGAGGCTCCTGACTTGGGACAGGCGCAAAAATGCGGCGGGGTTAAACATGTTTATGAGAACTCAACCCTCCCCCTATACCTCTAGCCAATGTAGAAAAGTAAACGCATAACAATACGCACATTAAAATTCAGTTCAAGAGAAGTCCGAGTCTGATGTCAGAAGATGTAACCAAAGAAAATAAACAAAATGACAATAATACATAAATAACAACAGACTACTAGCAGTTAACTGACATGCCAGCTCCAGACTTCAATTAAACTGATTGGAAGATTATGTCTTCATCATATGAATATCAGGCACAATCCTTCCCGTTAGGGGTTTAGTATCATACCATCATAACATATATGAGAAGAACATAACCCGTGTCATGCCAACAACTGGTTTTTAAATAAATGTGTTTAGTGCCGATGCAAAGACCCTATAAGTGAATCAATATTAACGCCAAATATGCAATCTTTAATGAGCTGACAACAGTATCGTAACTATATCCCTTCTTAATAAGTCTATTTAAAGGTTTTGTTAGCTTCAGAGGTGAATACTGACATTTTTGTGCTTTATAAAGAATATTTCCATAAAAATTGGATGTGAAATATCTGAACGTATAAGAAGTCTGCATGTTGAGCTATATTTACGAATGATGTCCTTATACCGATGATAAAATTTAGTAAATGTTTTGACTAGTTTGTGATATCGAAAACCCTGGTGTAATAATTTTTCAGTAATACATAAATTTCTCTCGTTAATATCTAAAACATTGTTACATACACGAGCGAATCGTACAAGTTGAGATATATAAACACCGTAAGATGGTGACAAGGGAACGTCACCATCTAAAAATGGATAATTAACGATAGGAAATGAAAAATCATCTCTTTTATCATATATTTTAGTATTAAGCTTTCCATTAATGATATAGATATCAAGATCGAGGAAAGGGCAGTGGTCATTGTTAGTATTAGCTTTATTTAAAGTAAGTTCAACAGGATAAATTTCTTTAGTATACATACTGAAGTCGTCATTATTGAGAGCCACATTATCATCCAAATATCTAAATGTATTATTAAATTTGTATATCAGATGTTGTTTCGATGGGTCTTTGCTGATTTTTGTCATAAATTGTAACTATGTTTCGGCAATAACGTTTATCGATTGTTGCATGTATTACCCATGGCCAGTAGTAGCACCCCTTTGATAGGAGATGTGTTACTGTATTTATAATTTCCAACGGTTCGATAGTATAGTGGGAAATTACTGTAATAACGGTACTAGTGAATACTATTGATACGGGTACTTCGTATGTACACGTATATATACATATCACGTGATATTGATATTTAGCGGGAATATTTTCCCTTGTTGGTCACTTCTAGCCAAGCATCAGACTGGACAACAGTGAAATAAAGTTCATTTTCAATTTTATTGTTATTCTAATTTGTATTTAGTAGGAATTAGATATTTTACTAAAGAGTAACTTAAGTTATTACTTATTACATATAGATAGTATATTTACTTTATATACAGTCCAAGTATAACTCTCGAGACGGTCTTCCGAGCATTTGGGTTTGGACACAGGTTTCCCACATTTTCCACTTTATTTAAAATGTAGTCTTTTGACTGCAGTTTAAATGGAGTTTGACCGAGGTGACTCGTTTTTGTTGGTTTTTCCTGGCCGGCGGGATCGTTGATGACAGAGCAAAATATTTTTGAACACAATTTACTAATTATTCTATTGAACTCTTTAATGATAGTGAATTTATTGTGCATTGATACTTATGCTTTATGTATATTGTGTTTATCAATTATATTTAAATTAATAAAATATGGGGTCCACCAGTATTGCTGGGCTATCGGCTATATATAGTATTTAGTATTTATTGAGATGCCTAGAAATAGTTATTAGTAAAGTTGATACTGATATGAATCAAAGTTTATGTCATGAAAAAGTTGTTTCAATTTCAAAATTTCACATTTGGTTAAGTTTCAGAATTACGATAAACGATGGTTAATTAATTTGGTGGTGTTTTTTGGGTTAGATAAGAGTCAAATTACAATCTGCTATTGCGTGATGCCTATACGTGTCGACAGATTTTATAGGAGTAACACGACGAGTGTCACATGTAGAACAGGATCAGTTTACCCTACCGGAACATCTGATATCACCCCCAGTTTTTTTTGGAGTTTATGTTGCTCAGTCTTTAGTTTTCTATGTAATGTTTTGTATACTGTTGTTAGTCTATTGATCGTGTTTCGGTTTTTGCCATTGAATTGTCAGTTTGTTTTCTTCGACATGAGTTTGAATGTCCCTTTGGTATATTTTGTGTTTCCTTTATATGACCAAACGAACTAAAGATCCGTCTAAATTTGATTTACATTAGTGATTGATGATTACAACATAACCTACCGTTACCCTTTTTTTTGGCATTTTGCATTAAATAATCAATAACATCAACGGTAGAATTTTTTTAAAAATATACTTCTGGAATTTACCTATTTGACCTTACTTTCAATAGATTTCATATAAACCTAGATTAAGATATTTAGGTTTCACACGGGAAACTCTTCACTAAAATTTACGCCAAAAAGGACGATTTTCGTTTCCTATTGTTACTTTTGTTCTTTTTTGACCGGTGATGTTCCTTTGGTCCCATGTTACGATGTTTATATTTCGCAAATGGTTCGCTTTGCCTGTGTCCATAATGACGTTGGTATTTCAATGAACGTAATCAATGTTTGTACATTTCAAAGAACATAATCTGGGTATCACTGGTAAGTTCTTAATTCAGATATTTTGTAGCTTCAAATTTCTTAAAACCTTTACTAAATTCTTTGATAAATACAAAGATTTGGCTTGATAGACTGATTAAAAGTAAAATAACAAAAATATCGAACGCAAATTCCTTTATCAAATAGCAAAATCAAAAGCTCAGGCACATCAAACGAATGGAAAGCAACTGTCATATTCCTTACTTGGAACAGCATTTCCTTATGTAGAAATTGGTGGATCAAACCTGGTTTTATAGCTAGTTTAACCTCTCACTTGTATGACTGTCGCATAGAATTCCATTATATTGACAACAATGTGTGAGCAAAACAAACAGACATTATAGGTAAAAATATCAAAAATGGAGTACAGCAGTCAACATAGTGTTATAATCTTAATCACTATAAATCAAATTACTATTTATAAAGAAACGACAAATTTGCATACAGACACTATAGACAAAGTACATAAGCAAAAATGAAAGACAAGAATACAAAAATGA